CTGTTTAATATCCGAAATCCATTCATATTGTATAATATTCATATTCATAATTCAGTGCTATATATAGGTGTTAATACGCCTCAATTGTTAAGGTATTGAAATAGTTCATCATATTAATAATTATTAACAAATATATAAATTATTTGAATAATTTACGAAAATATGAATACAAAATAAAGAATTATATGATATAAAAAAGTAGTCTCTGAATAATGTTTAAAATTATTCGATGGATTATAATACTCTTGAATATTGATACTCACAGACACTCGTATGCATAAAATAATTAATTCACTAACCGTAAAAGATGGAAGACAACAAGTGGAAGGATTCAGTATGTTTAATGTTGGATGTTCAATGTATGAGTTGTTGTTTCTCCGGCTATACAATCAATGAAATTCTAGTCGTTGAGCAACTGGTATTTATACGTTCGATCCGTAACGACACTAACCAATCGTATTATCGCACCGTACATCCCCTTATTCGTAAACTTTTTGGCCAATGAAAACTACTTATTTCTATCAAATTTATGTATATATAAAGGTGATTGTTAAAACATCTACGGATTTGTACAATATTCACGACATGGCTCGTACCAAGCCATCAGCCCGTAAATCGACCTGTTGTAAAGCTCTCTCAGGAAGCAGTTGACCACGAAAGCTGAGGCCCCAACGAGCGCACGGGCTACCGGCGGTGTGACTAACTGCATTGTTACCGTCCAGGTACTGTCGCTCTTCATGAAATACGTCGTTACTAGAAAATTACCGAATTGTTAATTCGTAAATTGCCCTTACAACGTTTGGTCCGTGAGATCGCCCAGGACTTCAAAAATGTTTCCGTTAAAGAATTGTTTTAACAATAATTCACAAATTTGTACCTAACACCATTATTAACGATTTTATCCCATCTTTAATTTAATCACTATCATCCCCCTACTTAATCTAAAAACTTGAATATCTCGTCAACGGGTTCAAAAATGTCAACAATAAAATCTCTTTAAATTAACACTGTATTTATTTATGGAATTTGTCCTCTAGGTTCCATTTACAATTTTAAAAGTTAACTCTCAAAACTTCAAAAAAAACAGGAAATAAAAAAAAGAATTACAAATTGATTTATTTACATGTTTGTTTATTAGAAAATATTCGTTTTAAACATATTTCTCTATTTTATATATTTGGAGGACGATTATTTTTGATAGTAGTTCCAACTTTTGTATAATGCTTGATGTCATTCTCTTATTTCAGATATTCTATACAGTATTGTTAACTGGTGCATTTGTAGTCGAGCTGGATTTCTTTATCCTAAATATTTTAAATCCATAGTTAGTAATAATATTAAATAAATAATATAAATAACAATAATCACGTTTAATTATATTATATTGTATAATATTATATAATTATATTGTAATAAAAGGATGTAAATTCACGAGGATTGATAAAATAAGTTGTACGATTAATATTAAATTGGTTAAGGAAAATAATTAACCTTTATATTATAAACTAACTAACATAATATTATATTATTATTAAACCAATAATTTACCTGCGTCCAAACATTATTTTTACTAAATTTCTAAATGGTGCTTCCACAACCAAATATAAGATGAAGCTTGCCAGATAACAATAAAATATATCATGTACTACAGCATTGAACTGAAATAAAGTTATATTCTCGTAATAAATTTAATAATATTTAACACGATGTATGGAAATCAAATATATGTAACAATTTTAAATGATAGTTATAACATGTTTATGATTGGAGAAAAATACAAATATGGACAAAATTTTAATTTTTGTATTACCAAATTTTTTGCAGACAGATAATTAGGTAATCTTAGTGAACTCTGAGAAATCAACATTATTGGAAGGTTGACCAAGAAAACGCTATATGAGAGTCGACCCAAAGACACAACAAATCTATTAGCAAACACTTTTGTTAGTAGACCTGCAATAAGAAATATAAATGTGTAAATTATTTTGTTATTTTTATACAGTAGACAAATCATGAAATCTCATTTTCAATCTTTTTATATCATTTGTATCAATTTATATCCTTTCAAAATTAACTGTTAATTTAAAAAATACCTATCTATTTCTTAAACCATTATAAAACCTTTTTTCAAGCTATTATTATTTCACAACAGTGTACTAATATCTAATATAGGATAGCAAAAAATTATAGATGTCATACTTATATACCGTTTTCAAGAAAAATACGAATGTAAAACAAAAGTGCGATATCAAACATTTCATTCGTTTAAGTTTATTTAATACTTAATTAATAAACCATATATTACTTGTAAATATGAAGAATCACAAATATATTATGAGTAAGGTATATGTTAAATTATAAAAATACTATTTACCATAACCGGTTGTGAAGTGAAAAACAGAAATGATCACACACAAAAATGGAAATACAGAATGACTGACAGATGAGTAGAAAGCTTGTTCTATAGGGTAATAAGGTCTGTCTCTCTGATAAAATATTGCTCCATACAATTGAATCCATAAAAAAATTATGAAAGCAATTATTGTTCCAGCAAATACAGTAATCTAGGTACGTAATTAAAAGTTAATTTTGTAATTTCGATTAAAAAATCCTCTTTATAATTTAAAAATGATATTATATTACTTGTGAAAATTTTAATTTCATTTCCTTCAATTTTGGGATAATGAAACCAGTTCCCAAGCCAATAATAAAAGGAGTAGCTCGCATATAGCTTGGTCTGTATGTTTTATTAAATGTTATAGAACTTCGAGCATTTTCTAAAAACCTAAAATTTTGTTTTACTGATTATTAATAAATTAATACATTTAATATTAATGTTTAGTAATATATTTATTTGAACATTTGTTAATTCATATCTTGTTTCGAAATCACTTATGATGATAAATTCAATTTCAAAAACAACACCAAATATATAAACTGACTATTTTAATATAATATCAATATTATACTTACGGAATATATACTTGCAGTATTGCATCACTTTTATTCAAAAGCGTAATGATAAACGGTACGAATAACGACACAGCAAGTAATACACTGACTAACCCAATACCGTATTTACTATTCGTTGTGTAAACGTACACGGTAATAACGCCGATTATGAAAAGTTGAATATCACACGACATGTACCAACTTATCAGGAGACACTAAAGTAAAATTTAACACAGCCGATACATGCCTATTATAGTTTCTCGTTGACACGTTTATTTTTAATAATATACAAAAACAAAGTAATCATTGTTAGAACTAGTAAAACTTACTTGATACTTGGCATCGATAAAATTACTTATGAATATCACATTTGTCCACCAGTAGTCTTTACATTTCTCGGCTTCATGCCAAACTTTTTGAGGCCACAGCGGCCCGTCTCCGTAATGGGGTAAAATGTGTGACACGATTGCCATCATCATACAATAAGTTGGCAAAATTCTGAAATTAATAAACAATTTAACAATTTCATCATTGTCAATTAATAATTTTATCTGAATTGAAAAATGTTTGCATGGCCACATACAGTGGCGTATCTAGGGGTTAACTAAGGGAGCTTCGACATTCCCAATTGGCCATGTTAAATACAAAAATAAAAAATATAAATATTTTAAACTAATTATCATTGAAAAATTAACTATTATATATTATATAGTTATACAAAATCAAGTACGATTTATGTTGACTTTTTATATATAATTTTATAATTATTGTATTTTGATCTGGATAAAACTAGTTGTTCAAAATATAAGAGGAAGATCGTTGTTTGTTTTAAATATCAAAAGACTATAATTTAATTTGATTATTATGGAAAAGAAAGTTGTATTTTTAAAATATAAATTACCAAGCTACAATTTAATTACATTTTAACCGTATTTGGCAAAATATTCTGATTTAGTTAACTATTTTCAGTTAAGCTCCTCAACCCATTGAACAATCCTATATAAGTCACTGATCATATATGTATTATTTTATTTGTTATTGAAAGACCCGTTTAAAATACTGTTTGTTTTGTAACTCAATATTATATAAGTAACATTAAAAAATGTTTTAAAACTTTTACCTCAAGATTCGGTAGATAATTGGTGATATAAGTTTTATCCAAACTGGTCCTTTCTTTAAAAATATTGGGGAGACCGTCAAGTACATGAGCAAACCACTGAAGAAGAAAAACGGATCGACTAAATTCATACTGGTTATTATAATATTTGGACCATTGAGAAACAACTGTAATTATTAGTATAAAAATAGTTAGGTTAAAATTATAAGTAGTAGGTATAAACACGTGTATGGGTATAATACAAATACCACGGGTATGCACACGTTTAGAACAGTAATAATATGTATTCTACAATATACATTGCCTATAGGTACTGTTTTTAAATAAAAAATGAATCGCTTAAAAAGTGTTACAGTTTAGTTTGATTTATAACTTATAAGTCATAGGCATGTCTACGGTGGCAGCATGGTCTACCCCTGTAATTTTCGAAAGGTACCGGTCAACCGAATTTATGTCTAGTGGCTTACAAATTTTATTAAAAAAAAAAAAATTTGTTATGCATTGTTTATAACAATATATTATTCTCTATTAGTCATTTTTATTATTCTATATACTAACACATCATATATTTTGTTAACTACTTAATTATACGGCGGTGTAATCCAAGGCTGTAAATGAATAATATTTCTGTCGTTCAATTTAACATACTGAACATATTGTACATAATTAATTGTAAATAGATAATTTAGACATTTTTAAATTACATAAATATTTAATTGGGGGACTAACCTTCACCCTATTTAATGGGGATATTTTCGGTTCATAAATTGGCTTCGGTCATTAGCTTTGCTACCGCTGCGGATGAAGTCTAGTGACGTCTATGTTATAAGTTTAACATATTTCTTAAGTGAATAATAGCATCTATTTAATCACTGATAAGCATTACTTATGTTCGGTTTAATATCTTTTACATACACATTGGACGGCAACTCGTGTAGACAATTTTTGAACTAAATATGTATAATGGGGATTCGATACCGACAGTTTTTAAGGTGTTTAGTACAAACCATTTAGATAGTACGTGCGTCTGTGATTTGTTTCTGTAATCCTGTTTGTATTTAAAAAAAAAAATAGTAACCGACCATTAGAATGGGTGTTCTCTGCACTACGTCCAACCATTATAGTGTTATGGCATGTGAGTATGTACGAGACAAACCCGTAAATGTCCATAGATTTTTTTTTATATTAGTAAACAAATACGAAAAAAAATTAAAAAAAAAAATTAAAAACGTTTTTCAACCGTGGAATTTAAAATAATATTTTTAATATATACAATTTTCTTGAAATAAATTTATATTATTATAGTTAAATTATATTATTTGAAAAAAAAATTCTTACTCGAATTTCTGCAGAATACTATATTTTAAAATTTAATAAATTACATACATGGATTTGCTTGATAAATCTAGCAGTAGATAGAATAATAATGGTACAAACGCGTAAAAATAACAATATACAATACAATATACTGCTGGCCGTATTCGGATTGTTATCATTATGGTTAGGAATGTAATCATAAAAAATGATTTTATATCATACAAGTCTAAATAATATATTAAAAATGGGTTTATTTTCGATAAGTTTTATATAAATAATAATATTATGAATTTAATTTACGACTACAATACTTTTTAGCTCTAACACACTACATTGGTAAAAAAATCAGGATCCGTGACATTTACGGTTTTGTGAGTACGAGTGATCGTAATTGGTGTCGTGTGTGAAAAATTATTATTATACTTAAACTATAATATTATCAAAATTTAAGGAGACTGTAGTGAAAAGTATCTAATTTGCGACAATGATGAACGAATCTCATTATAATTATTCAATTTATAGTATTATTAATATTATACCAGAATTTTATTTTATTGGTAAGATATATAATTTGCTTAGAATTCTCCTTATTACTATCAGACTTTGGCAACCGTATCACTCTAAATGTGAGTAACCATTCCAATTATACCTTATATATTTTCCAGTGAAGATTTCATCCGTATAATTTAAAAAACACCCGATTTTTTTTATATTGAAATGTTTAAGAGATAAATTTTATAAAAGTGAAAAAATTTTCACGAGTGCATTTCATGACGAATCTGAATTCAAGAAATCATCAAAGAAATTTATCTGAAATTAAGAAGTTGTGTCCAATTACTAGGACACTCGGTACAATTTCCAAAACGGTCATTGTTGATAGAAAACACAGCTGGTATTGAATCTCTTTAAATTATATATATGATTTTACAGTTTATAATTTATAAAAAATTAATTTGGAGACAAATAGGAAATTTAAAATTAATTAATTCAATTAAAAAATTAAAAACCATTTTCTACGATTTAAACCAGTTTATTTTTTATTTCTTACTTAAGGCTATAAACTATGATTTCCATGCATTAACATATACATATTTAATTTACTTTTGTTTTATTATTATTTTTTACATATTATAGTATATACATAAACAACTTTTTGTATTTTTCACTTACGTCTTCTAATGATTTAGAATAAACTAATGGATATCCACTCAAATACCCATATTTATGACCATATAAAACTGTTAACATCACTAATAGTTTTAAACCATTTATTATATTTAACTCATTTTTGCTATCAAATTTTAACAATTCTTTGCATGAGTTGATGAATGAAAACGAAGAAAAAAGTGGATTAGAAATTTCATCTGTAAATTTAAAAGAATTATATTATTATATTAAAACAAAATAAACAGACAATAATTGTATTTTATTCAGTGGTGGATCTAAAGTTGGGGGCGATGGAGGCGATCTTTGTTTGTTCCCATTGAACTCTTACCTTGATTTCCATCATACATATGTGTATTATATACATTTTCAAAATCTCCCCATTTCCCGTTATCTAGTCCTGGATCCGCCAATGAATAAAATAAATTGTGTAAATATAAACATCGTATACATAGTTTATATACAAGAATACAATGTAAAAGTTTAAAAGTCAATAATAATTGTATAATGTATTACTCACAAGCATATTCTGTATTTTGGTGATTCAATGATATTATAAAATGATGTAATGTTGCACAGCAACAAATCAGAATTAGTAGACATAAAATAGAGCTGGAATAATATTATTATGTTATTAATTTAAATACTTATTATTGATTGTCATTGTGTAATAATTTTAAACCTACATATTTTTCACTCTGTTCGAAAAATTATTAAATCATTTGGGAGTGGTTTAACAACTATACTTTTGAGAAGGTATTTAGTACTTGATAGCACTTAGTATAAGTGTAGTTAGTACAATAGTTAAATTCATTTTTTGTTTTATTATTTTAAAATGGAATTAATTTAAGTGTACACAAATAAACGTAACTTTATTTATATAACTTAAGTACCTATAATTTCTTTAAAAATACAATTATTGCTTTTAATAAGACAAATATGTAAGTGTGAGAACTTTTTGGTCTAAAGTTGTTTAATTTACAAATAATATTAAAAACACCCAATAATAAACTAAAATGGTATTTTTTTATCAAATAATTTCCTATTTTTCAAACAAAATTATTAAGCATTATATAATTGCATAACTAAATTATTATTATGATTATTATAAAAATAAATATTAAATCACACTCACACGGTAACATAGTATGCTGTGTTGTAAGGATACATATCTCTACCGACCGTACACGTTATTGGATCCACTTTAACTTGAGCTTTGATATCTTCTGGAGAAAAAACATTATCGAATTCTTTTTGTAACGATATCTGTAGGTCTGATGCCGTACAAGAATCTGGTATGCATATCCCTAATTTCAAAATATTTCGCCGAATTTGATCTGGGTAATCAGCCCACTAAAACGATGAAATATCTATGAGTATTTTAAATGACTCTTCGTTGAAATGCAATGTATCTCAACATCTCATCGTATTTCCATTATTTAGTCAGTTTATTATACTTAACAATTACATAAAATGCTAACAAACATATCTAAATAACCATAATTTAGTTATGTTAACAATAACACTATAACAATATTATAGAACATTTAATTAGATTTATTTATTTTGTTATTTTATTTTAAACCATTTGAGTATTTTAACATACCCCGAGTATTGTATGCCATGTATGATTATTACCAAAGTTATCAAGGTCTTCTGTTCTAATAAAACTAAAATTTTTGTCAGATGATGCCGAGATTAATTTTACTTCTGGAAGACAATACTGCCCTCTTATTGGATAACGTACATCAACGCATTCATCGTAAATACCAAAGTGGTACATATTTCCTCCCAGTATGCCAATTGGACGCCGGTCCCAGGATTCTGCCACTGGAAAACAAGTTTTAATTAAAGATATTAGAACAATGGTCAATATTATTGTAATCTAGTGTTTCCAGGGGCGTTTATCAATTAGTGTAAACATTTAAATGTAGGAATTTTTTCCTACATCGGGTCATTTCTGTATCCTGTTTATTATTTATTTTATGGATACAGGAAAAATATCCATAAAAAGACTCATTGTACCATGATTTACTTCTTATGACGTCAGTTTTATGGTAACAATATGGTGTCCATATATCACTTTCGCATCTTAGTGGGATTGGGATATACTCGTAAGAACATAGCTAAAATGATAAAGGTGTAATTAAGGTGTAAAGGTGGTGAAAATTCATGGTAATTGCATGGTCAAGATTTAATTATTATTTGATGAAAATAATTATCTATTGACTATGGTTAGATATATTATTATTTGTATGCACCATTATGCAATTTTATCCCACATCCTACTTTATTTTACTAGGTAAGAATAACAATATTAAATATGTATATTGTGTATGTATTTATTTTTGTTTATATAATTTTTTCAAACATTATAAGATGTGATAAAAGTTAAAAACAATAGCAGGCAATTACAGAAATATTTAACTTTGAATAATAAGAGAAAGCAGTTCTTGTACACTTAATATATTATATTCACATAAATTGGATAAAGATAAAGAAAAAGCAATTTTTAATTTACGTAGTCTATTCATAATATGAAATAACTTAATTAATTATTTTAAAACTCTTGATTGGAAATGTATTCGAATCTAATTATGTATTGTCAATAAAATTATATTGACAATATAAATTAATACAATTTATTAATTAGGTATGACGATTGGTTAAATCACAATAAAAATTTAAGCCCTTAGGCCATTTGGATCTATTCGCGATCTTCACATGTACTCCTTAAATGCTGTGAAAAATCTAAGTATTTTCAAATATCGGCTTTAACTACATTTCAAAATTCCAAAAATCAGTATTTGAATACATGCAAGATTAAATTTAAAAAAGTAGGACGAGCACACCTAGTGAATCACTCTATAGGTATATATTATATATATTTTACTGTCCATATCGGAAAAAAAGTATGTGTGTTGCTAGATACTATACAATAATAGAACGAACGCTTACTTCTGACGGCCCAACTGGTGTGATTTCGGAGGTTCGTCTCGTACAAGTCTGTCTGTTTCTGGCAATCGATGCTGCCGACATTCCGGACGGTAAAATTGGCCAATGCCCGATAAAACAAATCGGGGATCCACAAGCCGGCTGGTATCCATTCCGAACCCAACGGGGAGGTAGGGGATTCGGTTCTTAAAGATTTGCAGTGTCCTGCTAATAAATGAAACGATATTAAAACGATCGTCTTTCGCGACCACGACATCATTCCAAAGTCGATATTAAAACAAACGAAATACTCCAGCACTATGGGTCTACTGGTTATTCTAAAACACTAGTTATGTTTATTTTGTAGCTTATATGGTCATCGGATCGTGCCCCCAAGTCTGGTATTGGATACGGGTAATGTGGAACTGACCAGCATAGACACCGTATATATTTTTATAAGATAATTTTTTGTTTATTCGTATATGATATATATATTAAACAATAATATTATTATTTGTATATACGAATAATATATATATATATATTATAAATAAGAGTAAAAATACATATGCATGATTTATTAAGTATAATTATTTTAATTGTATAATTATGTAATTATTTCGTGTAGGCAGTGATCCTTATACATATAATAACATACTCTATGTTTGGCTACCTTGTTGTACAAAAGGGAAATTCTTTTAAGGTAATTGATAATTTGTTTCTACATATTATGATGGTGTTCCGGTACGTACAAATAAATATACATAATATATTTGGTAAAATTATTCTAATAATTAAATGGAACTGACATCACGTTTAAGGGGCACGTTTCTATCATGCTACCGGACCGGTCAGCGAGAACGTTGAGGGGGTCGTCTAGACCGGCGATAACCTCGTGTACGTTGGATTGTAATATCTGTAGCCAAAACTCCGTGAGTGCCTATACTCACCAATAGAAGTATTGATGAGTGTAGCATTTAGAATATATGACTATATTTACAAAATGCAATTTTAATCATCAATATAAAAATATTTTTTGTAATATATACAAATATATATATTTAAACGTATTTAATGCATTTTAGTATTAATATTTTGTATAAAATATTTTTAAAATATATTTTATATAATTTGAAATGATCATTGTATAAAAACTAATAAATATAGTATAAGGGGGTGTAGGAGTCTACAATTATATATATTTGTATTTAAATGGATCACGTTTCCGACGACTCTAATAATTTGAACATCCACGTTTTGTTTTCAGAGAGTTGTTCCAATATTTCAAATATATACTCCCCCGAGTGTTCCCACAACCCACGTCACATATGTTTTTAAATTTTTGGTTATGGGAGGAGATTGCAGTTACTAATAATAAAAGGTTGTTTTGTAAAACCATAATTCGGAGGACAGGGGGAAATAAAAAAAAAACAAAATTGAACAAAAGTCTGGATGTTATTATAATTCGATAATTTCGAGGTTGGAATGTTTCACGTAAATCCACTGAAACTAGTGAAACCTAAAATTACATACTTATTAAAACTTTTCTCTATTTTATATTAGTTTGGAAAAAAAGCGTTGTGGTTCACGCAGGTGCGACACGATATGTGTTGCCGACTGCGAGCGCTGTTGTCGACAAACCCGTCCAAACCAAGGCGCGACAAAGCTTTAAAAGGATTCGTTGATTCAAGACAGAATTGTATGAGAGCCCATAGTTGTCATTGGACCAGCTTATGTTTGGAAGATAAAAATCTCCACAAAACAGGAATATACAATCGGAATGGGCAGAGATTGTTGTTTGGACGTTAGACATAAAAGACTCATGTTTGTGGATAGGATTATTAAGAGGGATGTAGACGGATCAAACAACAAAGACAACATTATTGGTTGTAAATTTGACAAGTACATGTTCGACATTATTGATCGGTGTAGCCATAACCTACAACAGATGTCATTACGAATGGAAATGAGCACATTACAACCTCTATAGCAATTACTCGTTAAATTATTTCTATCACACCGAAAAATAAAATAGTTGGACAAACCTAATTCATTATCATAGAAACTATGAGTAAGTAAGCCATTTCTCAGTTAGACAAACAAAAATACAATTAAAAATAGAAACATTATATTCAAATAAATCGAGTTTGGATCTTAAACCTCTACAATTGTGATAGAACCCAAGAGTTTGCTTTTTCAATTAGTTTTTTGGAGTACAGCTCAGCGCCATACCTGGTTGAAGACGACCTCAAAAACGTTTCACAATAACACTTCCAGGCCAAAATGATAGTTCTTATACCTCATTTAAGATTTGAACAGACAATTGAATATGAAAGGAGTCATAAGTTGGAAGCTTGATCACAAGTTGAGTAATGGTGATGTTGTCAAATTTAGGAAAAAGTTCGGATTTTGAGCATCTCATTCGCAACGAGTGGATCTAATCTTTAGACGAATATATTCGAGTGCTTACAGATAGGGTGGCAGAAATCTTTGTAGATTTTATATTATCAGATCAAACAATAAACTTGGATGATTCTGATGGCGGGGATCTCTTTACAGCTGAGATCTTACCATCAGAAGTTGGTTAGGTCACTTGCATAGGCTTACTAATTGGGGGAAGTTTAGGTTTAACGGCATTATCAGTTTATCGTGCATTTTCCAATTATTCTAAAAGAGGTTTTTGAGTTAAAAAATAACTGATTTCAATATATTTGCAACATCTAATGAGTTTGATGGTGAATCAGAAACAGGTGGGCTAAATGCGAAAATGTATGCTACAATTCATCACTTAGCTTAACACCTGTTGGGAGTGACTTGAACAGGATGAAGTCAACTAACATTGACTTGGTTCATTTACCCAGCTCAATTGACTAAGTATCCATGATTGGGAATATAGTAAAAACTACTCTAGATCCGCCTTAAAGTAATAATATATCGAAGAATTAATAGCACTTGCCACATAGTGTATAGTGACTGAAGAATATATTGATGGTGTAAGATGCACGGTGTATATAGCTGATCTTACCGCATTGGTTTATAAAACTACTGAACGGCGGCCGTGAGCAGGTACAAAGTCCAAATCATACATATTTCATGAAAATTAAAGACAATTAAAGGACGAGAAAAAATCAAAATATTACCCGTTCAATCAGGGACGGTTCTAGGATATACGGGGCCTTAGGCAAAATAAATAACAGTCTATGTATGATCTTCTGAATACTATAGGTACAAAAACAAATTTTTCTCGCTCTGTTCGAAAAATAGATTACATATCCAAACTAACTAGGTACTTACTAAACCAATTTAATCAAATATCATCCATCATTTTGTACATAATATATTATATTTTAATAAATTATAATAAAATAATTTTATAACATGTATAAACACACAATTAATAATTGAAATATAATAATATTATAAATAAAATAAATTTAAAAAAATGTAATTAATATAACAGAAAGAACAATATTAACAAACAATACAAATTATTGATTACATTAGACATAAAATTAATATTTTTAAAACATTACTTTTCTTGATTTTTTAACAGCAAACTGATTTATAATATCACCTTAATCTAAAGATTCAGAAATATTTTTTTTTATTGAAAATATTGATTGACCATAAAGGTTTTCTTGACTTAATTTGTTTTAATTAATTTCAATTTCGAAAAGCTTCTCTCGGCACATGCTGAAGTTACTAGTATTGTCAGTAAAATTCTAAGGGGAATATTTGAAAAACATTCTAAAGAATATTTTACCACTGACAAAGCTTCAAGAGGAGTCGTTTTTTCATTTACTATCAATCTAAAATTGACCAATTCATTATACAATTCCATAAAATAATATCTTTTGAATTCCCATCTTTTAGATTAATTTTAAGGTCCTTACAATATTTCATTAAATTGTCTTCATTCATATACCGTAACTTTTTAATACGAATTAAAAATCTAAAATAATCTTTGTACAATTCTATTTATTTAAAACGTAAGAAAATAAGTAAGAAAATTCTTGTTAAAATTTTCTTTTTCATCATTAATTCTTTCATAGTTTCCTTCATAATCAAAATTTTTCTTTTTCTTTCTTGGTCGGTTTTTTTTAAATAGTGGTTTAACTTCAATTTCTTTCGCTAAATTATAAGCAATAATTTTAGCATTCATAAATCATGATTCTCTGTAGGATTTCAAAAAAGCTAAAAAAAACTTTGTAACATATCATTTGAAATATTAATATTTTTCACCAGTAAACTCTTATTTACTATGTTGACATGAACTAATATGTCATATCAAATTATTAGACTTTGTATAAATTCATATGTGCTTATTTCAGTATTTAAAGATCTAGCATCACTTTTGATATGATATTTTAGTAAACTAATTTTTATATAAACTAATTCATGGATTTTTCATAAATATCATGTTTATATTATAAGATAGTTCACTTTTTTTAAGTGAACTCAATTATTTTAATTTAATTATTCATTAATCATTCAATAATAATAGTTCATGTAATATTTTTCTTTCAAATTTAAACTAGTTAAATTAACTATAACATTAAAGTATTTATTTTATTTGTTGATAGTTTATTATATATTGAATTAGATTTCATGATACACAATTAATATGTTAGAATACTACCTACCTCAGGCTTAACAATATTCTATTCATCAATTTCTGGTAAATTGACACCAGACGTAGCATCAACTATTTCAATCTATAATTATAAACGTTGAAATGTATATAAAATACAATATAATTTTACTGGTATACAATTTATTAAATAAACAAAAATAAAAAATAAATTGACAAATTGTAATTAAATCATATATTTGGACTGAATACATTAAAAGTATTGTATAGAATGTCAGTTACCTTGTAATCTTTATATCTTCCTTAAGAAATCGCTCAAAAGATCCAAAATGTTTACGTATTTCTGTTTAGTCTAACAATTTTACCACACAGTACCTATCGAATAAAAATTACGTGTAAAATTCGCAAAATTAAAATTTCTATAAATCACTCAAAAATAGTTAAAATTTATTGAAAATTTTACCACATTTAGAAAAAGCAAATGTAAGTTTTCTGTCCATATTTTAAGTCTATGAATATTTCAACAACATATTATTATATCACAATATTATTACAATAAATAACAAAATTGAAGAAATATTATAGAAAGCATTATTTTCGTAAATTTTCCGTTTTTCTTACGTTTTATCCTAGTTTTTCAAAAATATTATGAAAACACTTAGAAAATGAAAGAATGACTTTCTAGAAGTACCATACAATATTTCCTCCGAGAAATGATGACGTCTGTGCATATTGGAGCAAAATTCCTGATAGAAATTTTTTATACAGTATAAAAACCATCACATTCTTCACTACATTCAGAATCTAAAAATATAGGTACCTTGTTGATAATAATTGACAACACTGATTGTGCAGCTGTTACGCTTAAATATTATAAATAAACAAAATTCAATATTTGTCACGGATATTCTCTAAATACAATTTTATTTATAACCAACTAATTGAGAAAGGTAAACTTTTTTTTTTTGATATTGATAGCAAAAAAAAATTGTAGTTTGCCTTATGATTTTTTATAATGCTATACAATTTTAAAATTTACAAAACAACAAATAACTATATTTTAGTACTTTTTTAACAAACAATTATTTTAGGAAAATAAAAATAGGTAATATACAGTCAAATTTAGGTAAAACTGTACATGTGTTTATAAAATAGTGAGCTCCTCGTGATATTTTAAAAACTTGCTGTCTCTGAGGTCGGAAGTAAAAACAATTTTCTAGTGTTGTATATGTTTATGCTTGTCGGTCGGAATTTTTCGCGTGCATTGAGAAGTTTATATTAATTTTCCAAGGGAGTTTTGAAATAATCGGGAAAAACCGAAAGAAAATTATTAGCAAAACTGCAAATATTTACTGCCCGCCGCGGCGTTACCATTTTCATTGCTTTTATTGTGTTTACACGATTTTTTCTACCAGAAATATTCCTCTAACTTAAAAATGACAAGGTATCGATTTTGTTCCTTTTAAAAGTGTTTATCAAAAAAATAATTGGAAAAAACCAAAAAAAATTTACGATTTTTTTCAAATTACGCCCCAACGATTTCATCATTTAAAATTTTTACGACTTATGTTTTCTACTATAAAAATTGTATCAATAGATAAACGACAATATACCTTTTTTGTTGAATTTTTAATTTTGTTTATGATTAAGTTATTCGTTTTTTTTAAATATTTCTGTAGTTTTATTAATGATTGAGCATTACCAAAAAATCGTAGAAATAATGCAGTTATTATTTTTAATTTTGTTTAATATTTTGGGACTTCAAATTTTGACAGATAACTTTAATATGCTCTTTCTAGACGTGCTACAACTTTTGAAATAAAGCTACTAATTTATTATAAACATTTTAGTTCTGCGAGTTTTGTATAGAATTTTTATTCGGTAGGTACTATCTATACTTAAAAATGTTAGACTTGATAGAAATGCTTGAAAATATAACAGGAGATTCCTTTAAATACGGTGCTTATTGTTCTAAAAAAAATAAATATTTTTTAAGAGGTATAAAGATAAATTTTGACAAAAAACCTAAATATAACATAACGGCTCATCAAAACTTGTATAACCTATTCCTTTTTTTTCGTTATCTATGGTTTATTGTTGTATACAGGTATAATTGAATAATTTTATGTATTACACCTAATATCATTAATATTATTAATAATTTTCAATACAGTGTATTCCATCATGTTCGACGGATTTTTCTAGAGCTTTTTATATTAAATATTTTTTAATTTTTTTTTTTTAATCGGTTTGTCTTCTAGGGAGACATCAATTTGGAAAAAAATTTAATTTGTATTTTTATCCCCTAAATACAAAATATACAAAACAGTCATTATGTAAGAGATATTATTCAAACAATTTTAATTCTACACACATTCATATCCCATGATCAGTTCCTTTGTAGAAACCGTTTGAATTTCTAGAAAAAAAAAAGGGTGAAAATAATTAATATTTAATAATAATCACAATCGCCGTCCGGTAAATCATTATCGCAATAGTAGTTTATTGATCATAAATTGTTTTCACACTTATTTTCTAGAAATAAAAATGGCTATTATTAAGAAACTATTTATCGGATGTGAATATGTCAGTGTCATACATTAAAATGTTTAGAATCATATATTTTACAAAATGGCTATTTTGAAAATGTTGTAAAGTGAATAAACAAAAAGTTATTTTCTTTTTTTTGTGTTTATTGGATTAAAACAAATTTTTTATTTTATTTCCTATTATAAACAATGTGACCGATCGATCGTATTTTTATGTTTTGTTTGTCTTTGGATCTAAAATTGTGATGAAACAATATTAGAATATATTACATTTTATTAGGTATTTAATGTGTTAACAATGCAATTAGATTATACAAACATCAATAAATAGTAGACCAATTAATTATGGAAAAATTGAGACAGGGTCGTAAACAACATTCTGTTAATCAGGAATATATTCTAGAACATTCGGATAGTAAAAAGTTTACATACGAAGTGTTCAAAAAGATATATAAATCTTAAGGAAACATTAGAAATTTAAAAGATAATTGATTTTTTCTTTTTCGTAATTTGGTAGAGAAACACTAATGATTCCAGTATTCCAATCACTTATGACTGATTAAAGTCAATATTTCGATTATGATTATCGTGTAAATCTATGTATTATGAAACTCACTCAATTGTACCATCAATAATTTGGATGACAAGTATTAACTAACTATAGGCAACGGTATTATCTGTTTAACAATCTTTTTTTATGATAGGTAGTACCTATCTAATTACTCCATACTTTTTTTAATGTTTTTTACAATCTAATTAGGGGTACTACCAGATGATATAAAATAACATATTTGATATTTCTGATACGTATAATATAGTTTATTTTTTAAAACACAAAATAATAAAGTTTTAACGTTAAAAATCCGTATATTTGTACGTAAACAGTGTACAAATTATGTTGTTTTAAACTGTTATTTTTTAAATAATAACTAATCACATATCTCAGAACCAAATACCGACTATAAAAAAACGAAACGTTGGTTTTTTTTTCTCATATACCTTCGTGTTTTGACCAAAATTTAATCCTTATTAGTCGAAAAATGAGTGGACGTGGTAAAGGTGGAAAAGCAAAAAGCGGTAAGTCCAAGACGAGATCATCCCGTGCCGGACTTCAGTTCCCTGTGGGTCGTATTCATCGGCTTCTGAGGAAGGGTAATTATGCAGAACGTGTAGGTGCTGGTGCCCCCGTGTATCTTGCTGCTGTCATGGAATACTTAGCTGCCGAAGTTTTGGAATTGGCCGGTAATGCTGCCCGGGATAACAAGAAAACACGTATTATTCCGAGACATTTGCAATTGGCCATCAGGAACGATGAAGAATTGAACAAACTGTTGAACGGGGTAACAATCGCCCAGGGAGGTGTTTTGCCCAATATTCAAGCTGTTCTACTACCCAAGAAAACCGAGAAAAAACCATAATTCGCATTACATTTTTCCTATTTTTAAAAAGGCTCTTGTCAGGGCCACCAATTAATTAGTATCTGTAGGGTTATATAAATATTGTTTTAACATATGTTATTTACCTCATTGTAACGTTGGTTACCTGTAGAACAAGAATTAGTTACAATGCCAGGATACTTCTCGAAGGCAAAAAGTTGTTTTCGCGAAAGGTAAATAAAATTCAATAACGTATATAGTTAATAGAATTGGCGTCGTTCCTTCCAAAATTCAAATCAAACAATACCCAAATTATTGGATGGCGCACGCAAATAAATCGGAAATTGTGTATGGATGCGTAAATAACTCATTGATGCAAGTTTATGCTTGTGGGGGCTCATATGTGTTCACGAGTCGATGCTGGCTGTAATTATTTTTAAGAGATAATTTTGCGATCGATTTCATTAGCTGCAGTCAGCTGCACTTTTAATACAAAAGTTTGGTACATGCACATTATCTTGACTACCGAAATGTCCTATGTTCTGGGCGGAGCGAGAAATGTCTTGTTTTTTTTTTTTTTTAATGTTATTTATATTTCTGTGAACAACTTTCCTACCCGAATTGCATAAGGAAGTGTAGCAATTTTTCCGAAAGGAAATTTTTTTTCTGAGTGACACTTTATTAAGAAAGTTTATTTTTAATTTTCCACAATAAATAGGGTTTTCATAATAATCGGAATTAACCGAAAAATTTAAAAGATAAAAATATTTGTAGAGACCAAAATTTGAATAGAACATTAAGACTTGATTTTTAAAGACGTGTTAAAATTTTTAAAATGTTTTAGCTATTTATAGACAATTTTGTGAGTTTTTTTTACGTAACTTTACTTCGGGCGGTACTCGATGGATAAAATTATTTGACTAAACATGTAAACACCTTGTTTATTAGATTTATTTTACAGAACATTTTTCTGTATACAAATTTCGAAACCCCCAGTGGTTGAATTTAAAAATATTTGGTTTAGGAACCTTGGCATTGTTAAAGAGTTTATGTTCACAATATCTAGTTTTAAAACCCAATGGTTTTTTCCGTTTTTGACTGTTCCTTGATATGTCAACAATATGTGTTTAATGAATTTTTAAAGCTGAACACACATTTAAAGAAATACATAAGAACTGAAATTCCGATACATTATCAAATGGATAAATACTGAGACGATTGAAACATTGCTCAATAACAAGTGTAGGCGCAATGTTATGTAGTTAAATAGTTTTTTTTTTTTTTTTTGTTATTACAATGAATGTTGTAAAATTTTTATGTATATAAAGCGATTATTTAAAAAATCATATTATCAATAGATGTTTTGTAGTATTTGTGTTGTTTTAACGCGATTAACTAACGGAATTCGACACATTTAAACGGTACATTAAATACATTTCGCCGCCATAAAGAATTGTGGTTTTGATCGACCAAAATAAAATATTAGCCAATCGTAGCAACTAGTCGGTTCGATACGTTTTACATTCTAGTTAAAACCGTAAGTGTCTTCATTCCGTTGGTGGCAGTTGAACGGAGAATAAAAAAAATTACCCATTACGAAAAAATCATTTTGGCTCCAGGAGGCAAATCTACTGGTAAAGCAATGGAGAAGACGGCAGGAAAAACGCGAAAAAATGTTGTCTAGTCTGACGGAAAGCGCAAGACCAAAATGAAGGAATCTTATGTTAATAATCAATAAGGTTTTAAAACAAGTACATCCGGACACCGGATTATCATCGAAAGCAATGATATGATCATGAATAGTTTTGTTAATGATATTTTCGAGCGTATCGTGACCGAAGCCCCGATTAGCTCTGTAAAACAAGCGAACGACCATTACCAGTCGGGAAATTTAAACTGATGTTGTCCATCTTCTTCTCTTACCCGGTGAATTGGCTAACACGCAGTCAGCGAAGGCACTAAAGCTGTCACCAAGCTAAGGAAAAACGTGTCCGCAGAATAGATCAGAGAAAGAAAGAAGGAAAAAGAAAAAACAAAACGGCATTGTAAAACTAATCGTAGCGAGGGAGCTACGATCTGGATTTCATATCGAATCGATAAGACTAGAACCACTGGGGTGGTTGGTGAGGTCAAGGCATGAGTGAGAAAACGCCTGTACACCACATCCGCATTTAGTGTCTCCGTCCTACAACCCCGCGACATGGGAAATTTGCATTTCGTATTTCAGTAGGACAAATTTGAATTATTGACTTATTACTACACAGTCAGAGGTAAAAGACCTCAGCAAAATGTTTTTTCGATTTTTTAATTTTGAAGTGTGATATGTTGTATATTGCAATAATTTTAAATTTTATATATACATGAATTAGTAATAATGCGTATAATCACAACAATAGTAAATCCAAAAAGTATTTAATATACATCTATGGTTTGTGTTACCAATTTTAGTACGAAAACTAATCTGAAAAAGTAAAACGTTATGACAACCAGATATTATTATTTTTCTAAATAGTTTTTTCTTGCCTGAATGTCTTTGATAACGCAGAAAATAATATTAACATTTTTTTTTTTTTTATCTGACATACATACTCAATGAGGTTTTGCCGCCATTTTAGTTCTTACGGATAATTACAAAGTATATCAGTGGGTAATACGATATACGATAGTAGGTATGTAGGACGGTGACGGTAGTAATGAGTATGATACTACTAATACTATGATATATGATAAATTACGTTATTATGAAGATGCAAAATAATTTCAAATATTTAATTTATTGTCGGGTCGTGATATGTAAAATTTAGGAACTAAAATAAATTAGATTGCAATTCCGGTAGGATTTAGATTATGCAATAAATATTTGTTTTCATATATCTATTATTAATTAGAGATCAAGTAACACTACTAGCGCAACTATAAATTTTAAGATTATATATAAATAATTGTATCAAAAAGATGTAGTGGCCCTGAAAAGGGCCGTTTTAAATACCAAGATTAATAATACGTTGGACGCGAAATCTTAAACATTCTTTGCTTTATCAGTTTTCTTTGGTAATAGAACCGCTTGAATGTTGGGCAGAACACCACCTTGGGCGATAGTTACACCGTTTAATAATTTATTTAATTCCTCATCGTTTCTGATGGCCAATTGTAAATGTCTGGGAATGATACGACTCTTCTTGTTGTCGCGAGCGGCGTTACCGGCCAACTCCAAAACTTCGGCTGCTAAATATTCCATGACGGCGGCCAAGTAAACGGGTGCACCAGCGCCAACCCGTTCGGCGTAGTTTCCTTTCTTCAGAAGACGGTGAATACGACCGACGGGGAATTGGAGCCCAGCCCGAGAGGATCTGGTCTTGGACTTACCGCCCTTGGATTTGCCGGCTTTACCACGTCCACTCATGATGATGATACTGCTTAAATAGCGTGTAGTGCAATATTAAAACGTATTTGATAAGCTCTCACCTCAAATTCAGATTGTTATATAGTAAAAATACAATATTAAAATATTATAATTGGTTAAAGAGCTACATAAAAACAAGATAAAACAACATTATTTTGTCAAACAGTTAGTATAATATATATTGTTTTTATTCGTTATAAAGTTATTCAATAGTTGAATCAAAACATTCATAACGAATCAAAGTACCGTGTTTTGAGTATAAATATCAGTGGAAAAGTAACTAGTTTGTCATTAGTCCTGTCAATTTATTAAAAACCGTATCTAGTCGCATCCGCAATTCCATAAATGGCTCCACCAGCAAAATCCGCGGGCAAAGCGATGAAGAAGTCCGGCAAGGCTCAGAAAAACATCACCAAGTCCGACAAGAAACGCAAGCCCAAGAGGAAAGAATCTTACGGTATTTACATCTACAAAGTACTGAAGCAGGTGCATCCTGACACCGGAGTGTCGTCGAAGGCCATGAGCATAATGAACAGTTTCGTCAACGACATATTCGAGCGCATTGCTTCCGAATCTAGTCGTCTCTCACACTACAACAAACGTTCCACAATAACCAGTCGGGAGATTCAAACCGCCGTCCGCTTGTTGTTGCCCGGAGAATTAGCAAAACACGCCGTCAGTGAAGGCACCAAAGCCGTGACGAAATACACCAGCTCTAAGTAAATTAATCTGTGAAATGTTATGGAACTCCTCTCACTATATCATTTTAAAACGGCCCTTTTTAGGGCCACAAATCTTAATAAGTATTTATTTGTAACGTTTTTTATAATATGCGGGGTCATGTAAAAAACAAGTGTTAAAAGTTTTTTACTATACTCGTAAAAACAATATTGTTAATTCTTATTATAGATTTAACTATTACAGATTATATTTATGTACCTTATCACGTATGGTAATGTTTGATAAAAAAAAATATATTGCAATTGCTTAAAAGTTCTAGGACTTCGCAATGTTACTCAAATTACTTTAATTACTAATACATTATTGTACATTATCCAGTATTTTCTGTATTACTTTTTTTGGGTAAGTTAACAAAAGTGTCGTTAAAAGAAAAAAACTACTCAGGAAAAAAGTCAATTCATAAACAGGTTTTGCAAAATATTAGTAAAAGTGTAAGTATAACTATGACATTTATAATATTCTTTTAATTATATATTACATTTACTGGTAACTGGTACTTATTATTAATGTTTAACTGAATGTAGGTTCATAATATAATTTAACGAATGTTTTTATTTATTTTTAAAATAAACGTTCACAAAACGAATCAATACGTACGTTGTCTGAACGGTTGTTTGAGCCTCGGTCAAAGTGATATAGCCAACTTTGATAAAAGAACTTGGGTAATTTGGCTCAGAGGCGATGCGATAACCGAATGCGCGGCAGAACATTGTTATCATTGCATGTTATCCGGTCTACCTTTTTTTGAGTTTGTTCATGTTAAAAGTCGGTTTATTACCATTTAAAATTAATTTAATAAGGTGAATCGTAATATTATTTTCTTTCAAACAGACAGCACAGTAACCGAATACGTAAATTTAACGTTCACAATGTTGTCTTATTGCGATCAGCTGTCCGCGATCCCGTCTGATGACTTTCGAACCGCCAAAGTCCAAAAAGCACTAGACGACTGCTATCTGGAATATGTCCGTTCGTGAGTTACTTAACTGTTTCCGCCCGGTTGAATAAAAAACCTTCGAAGATTGTGCAATTTTTGCCTTCAAAATTATGTTTCACACTACTGAAATTCTAACTTCTAACTCTCTCCAGGCATATTGAGCTCAGATACACCCCGAAAAATCTTGTACTGTTCATTTTAAATATCCAACGCTATTTGCAATATCCATTTATCATAATCATGGGAGAGATTGATTTAGGATCTATAGGTCTGAAATTCTCGTATAGATTTTTTAACTGCTTACTATTCGTAAATTGTAAATAATATAGATTGATAATCGTTATCACGTAATCAGTTATTTACTGACGTACACACACATGTTCTAGGACAAATAATATAAACACAAAGTGTGTATCCAATTTTATTTTTACGATTCAAATTCACATTTTGGCGGTGATTTTTATTTTCAGAACAAGAGTTTTATAGAAAATCTTCTACTAGCTCTGATATGACCGTGTTCCAAACTGTATTAAAACGTATTAAATAATAATTAGTATTAGATTATCTGATATCAGAACAATGAAAAATTATAATAAGAAAATGAAATATGTTAGTGTAATTTTACCAAATATTATTTAAAACGTTCTACAAAACATTAAAACGACAAAAATTGTTAATTTCGATGATTGTGAATATTCTGTTGATCTATTTACCTCCATAACAATTTTAATTTAATTAAAGTTGATGATTGCCATATTATTATCCTGTTATTTCATTAAAGTAAAATTCAAGTTTATAATTTTATTTGTTTTATATAATGTTTTGATGTAACCTAAATATTTTAATTACATTAAAGTTAAATTTAAGTTTATTATTTTATTTTAATTTGTTATTTGTTTTATATAATGTTTTGTTGCAACTGAAAAAATGTTAATTGGGTTAAAGTTATAGTACTCTTAGTATTGTTTTTTTATTTAAATTTATCTTTTTCATCTAATGTAAAACTAATAAGTTATAACAATTAAATATTCCTATAAGTTTGACCAAATATAACTATTTTATAGTTTTTCACACTAAATATGTGTTTGGTGGCCCTGTTAGGGCCTTTTTAGGATATTTCACGTTTTATTAAATAAAAATCTGCATTTTGAGATTGGTGGCTTTTTTGATGATTACACTTTTATTTGGTGTTTTAAACATGGTTGTAGTTGTCGTTGGCTTAATTTGGACATCATATATATAAGCATATGGCTTCGGCATAATTAAATAAATAATAATAGTAATAATAAACAAGTAATAAGTAAATAGGTAAATAAGCAAAAACGGTGACTAGAAACTAAAGACTAAGAATTTGGTAACTATTGGGTTAAGTTGTCTCATAGGCGAATAATCAGATTTTCCAGCCATTTAATCGCGTTTGCACTGCCTTCATGTATACCTCTCAAACCCCCATCGTATTTAGTTAAAGGGCATGTCTCAACTATATTCTTCGTTGTTTGGATATTTCCACAGCTACAAAGAGGTGACTCACTCATGCCCCATTTATGGAGTAAATGATTGCAACTACTATTAGCAGTTCTTATTCTATTTATTTTAGTCCATAATGATCGTGGAAAGTCAAATCCTGGGAGTTTCTGGGTAGGATCTACTACTAACTCAGCATTTTTTACTTTAGCATCCTTCCAGCGGCTTTTCCATTGGTTTTTTGTGTTCACTTCTGTTTCAATATCGATCCACACTGGATTTCTAGACTTAAGTCTTTTTACTGGGTGTTGATAAATGTCCTCATATACTGGGAGGTTTGGTTTTTTTTTTAATTATATTTAACAAGGAGTGGGTTGCTGCTTTTCTTCTCAGGTCAGCAGGAGCAATGTTTGCATGAGTAGGGAGCCATTGTATTTGAGTACTTTTTACCGTACCTGAGATAATTCTCATAGTATGGTTTAACTGCGTGTCAATTTTTTTACTGTGAGTGCTCCTTGTCCAAGCTGGCGCACAGTACTCTGCTGCACTATACACGAGCGCCATGGCTGAGGTGCGTAAAGTATTT